CGCCATCCAATGCAGATCATTGGCGCCATCCCCATCTACTGAAAACTAGTGTAATTGGATGAGTCATATAACGCAAACACTCATTGGTTATTGGTTATTTGTCAAATTTGGGCTGACTCCAAAGAAAATCTTCAGAAGCAAGCAGGAGATGCCGAAATGTCTGAAAGGTCAGACACAGGGGAGAGCGTATCGGGAGATGGAGACGGAGACCAACCAGACCTCCCTCATCCTTGGCCCTATCTCAAATTTTTTTTTTCGAAAAATTGAGCTTTCAATTCATATAGTGGCATCTGGCTGTTTTTTAAAGGTTACTTTATAGTTTTATACTTTAAGTAGTTTTTGGAGCACATACTTTTTCACTTTTACTTGAGTATAAAGGTCAAGTTGATACTATAACATCTAATATTTCCCCGCAGGATTGTGTCACAACATAAAAGAACCAGACCAGGTGAGGCTATTATCATGTGAAAAAGAAAATAACATAAACAGAATGTGATACAAGCATATGACTAGTTCCTACTTAGGGGGTTTAAATGACATGCAGCCTTTCTACAAAAGTCATACATGCAAAAATCATTAATTAACATTTTGAAGAAGGTTTTTCCTGTAGCCTCAGAAGTTTAAGTTCATCTTTTTTAAATCTGCTACTGTGGCAGATTTTCAAAACAACTGCTAGTCTTTTCTTAGGTCAACAGTCAAGAGCATTCATCATGACTGAAGACCACAAAACTATGTTAGAGGTCTCCAAAAAAGCTAAAATGTCATCATAGGACTTGCAGCATAATCATACAACATTTAATGTGAAAGTGTATTTATGTAAAATCAGAAATACACAGCACAAGTTTGACTTTTTTGGGAGTTTTGCAAGAAGGAACCACTTACTTTCTAAGCAAAACACAAGCTTTGCCAGAGAGAACGAAGACAATAACCTGGAACCTGGAAATAATTTCTTTCGGCAGACTGGACACAAGTGGACAAGCTTTCTATAAACAAAATGCAGCATTTCTAGAAAAGAACCTCTTACTATCAAGCACTAAGGTGGAAGAGTCATGGTTTCGAGATGTTTAGTGCTGTTGACTTGGTCAGCTTACCACCACAAATACCACCATCTTTTTCAATGTATCAAAGGGTTATTAAGGATAATTCAAGAACATTTGTAACAAAAAAGTGGAACATTGTCCAGATTCTGAAAGGTTCACAAATATCTCCCATCTGAAAGTGAGGGGAAAAATGGATAAAGAATTTCCTCAGACTGGTATCAAACCCTGGTTGGTTTTGGCAAAAGGCCATTCGCTCTGATCCTTGTTCTGCAGGAGGTTTCTTCCTGTTGATCAAATTGTCTCTGTAAAGTGCCTCGGGATGATGTGTTAGGAACTGGCACTACATAAGTAAACAAAACTTTATTGATAAGATACGAACAAAAAGGTTTTTGGTAAAGTTATTTCAGTTACCGGTAGGTGTTTGCATATTTTCCTTGGCTAGTGTGGCAGTTCCACTCACGCTGTTATCTCTGTTGCTTGTCCACCACCCTTTTTCCTTCCTCTTCCTTTCCCATTAATATGCTAAGATAGAGTTCTCTGAATATCCATCACTGGCAAAGACCCGTGTGATTTACCCTGCTTGTGTAGAAAGCCAATGTTGATTTCCTGGACAACTGTCAGCCATATTGGTGTATGTAATGTTTGAATTTCTGGAGAGGATTTATTCTGGGATGTTAGCTGTAAATCATAATCATCAAATCAAACTAAAGAAAATTTTTAAACAAATGATTTTGTTTAATGACCCAAATAAGATATAATGTATATAATCAATACTGAAATAAGGGTTTTCTGGATTACAAACAAACTTTAAACTTATGACTTTGGTCTGATTTTTTCCCAGAAGTCTCCTCCCATCACGCAGGTGGCTGCAGTCCTTTACTTGCACGCCTAACACCGAGACAAAGGCCAGGGGAGACCGCAGGCCATGTGACAACATTTTTGTTTTAGCTGCTCCACACTCTCCCACCCTCTGCAACATTTCATTATTTCCAAACCCATGAGCTCAAACAACTTGTCGGTGCAGCTCAGTCAGTAAGGGTCTTTGATGTGAACTCCACTGGTTATCTGGTTCCGTTTAGTAGCCTCAGATTTTGGAGAGGACTTCACTTTGTCTAAATATGTGGTTTGAAGTAATATAAGCGATCAAAACTGCTGTGTGAATGACATGGAGCAAAAAAAAAACAACAAAAAAACAAAAAAAGGCGCTTTAGTTCAATCAAGATCTGGCGCTCATGTTCCCCTTTTAGGGTGGGGTCTTCAAAGCTTGCTGAAGTGACCTGCTGCTGTTTTACGAGGCAACAAACCAAACATGTTTGCTGACTGATTCATTACCTGTGAAAAAATTACCCCCCCTTGCAGCCATCTGCCCAAAACTTAAGAAACGGGGAAAACAAGCAGTAACTGAAGCCCACCAACACAGCCTTATTTACCCACCCTGCCTGCACAAACATGCAGATGCTAACAGTGATGGATTAGGATTGGGTTATCCCAGTCAGCCAACACGGTGATAACAGAATGAGTGCTTTTGGGCTGGGCAGAAGTGGACACTGACGTCCATTAAAGTAAAGTCCAAAAAGAGGGGAGCTTTCTCCCCAGCATGCCACAAGGGATTAGGTGTCTGGTTTCTTCTCCTGCTTCCTAATCTGGACCAGAGGGGACGATTGTCACTTTCCTAAGCAACTCTTATTGATATTGTGTGTGAGCACCTCCAAAGCCAGGTTAACTCTAGGGATTAAAGCCATGCACTTAGAGCAGGAGAGCCTGGATTTGGGATGCCATTGTGAATTCCTTTGTGAATGTTCTCAGGGCATGATTTCAGTGTGAGAAGTTCACAGTTTAAGAAAAAAAAAGACAGATCAGGCTCTCTGAGGAGTGACGGGTGACAGGGGAAGGAGGGGGAGATGTGGGTGGTCACTGCAAGAGCGACATAAAAACTCTTCACCTTGTGAGCCGGTGACGAAGAGGGTGCTGATTGGGACAGGATGGAGAGTCGCGTCAGACGGATCACTTGGTCCCAAAACGTGCGGAGAGTAAAAAAGGCAGAAGCTGACAGAGATCGATGCTCTCTGAATCTACAGACTGCTGCTTCAAAGAAAGAGAATGTTCTGCTTTTATTACTAGTCTGTCAGCTTTGGTGCTTATCCAAAAGCATCGACAGTACAAAGACAGGGCTGTGTTTTTGTTAAAAAAGTTTTAAGACAAGTGGACAAAAATTTGTTTCATAAAGTGCAACAGTGATCAATTGTAAACAGTGTGGGAGAAAAACATAGTGTAAAAACACATTGATATGAAGGTTATGAGCATTAAATATGTATGGTGCAAGTATGCAGTATATTGGTTTGGTGTTGTCAGTGTGATGCAGAGTCTGTGACATGATATAAAGTTTTCTCAACAGTTCAGCTGTCTGATGGCGGTGGGGAAGAAGCTGTTCCACAATCTGCTGTACCTGCATGCTTCGAAGCCTCTTCCCAGAAAAAAGTCTATGTTGGGGGTGTGAGGGGTCATTGATGATGCTACGGGCTCGGGACACCAAGAGCTGGGAGGAAATGTCTTTAATGGAGGGAAGAAGAGCCCCGATAATCCTCTCTGCTGTTCTCTCTCTCTCTCTCTCTATATATATATATATATATATATATATATATATATATATATATATATATAAATATATATATACATATATATATATACATATATATATATATATAAATATATATATACATATATATATATACGGTATATATATATATATACCGTATATATATATATACTATTCCATCTAAGCGTTTGATGGAATCTATGGATGGACTATCAGACACAATGAGCTGTGTTGGATGGTTTAAAATGCTGCAGGCAATGTTTGACTGTATGCACATTAACTCTTCTGTTCATGCAACCATAAAATAGATATTTACCTTCATCAATCATTATTCCATCAACTCAACTAAAATCAATAGTGCAGTCACCAGACTAGACTAATGTTTTAACAACACAATTATCTATAAAAACAAACTGACAACAAACAAAATGTTTGCTGCAATGGAAACCTAGAATATTCCCTCAGATTTACAGTATTACTGAGCATGTTTTCATGTGTTTAAGTTAAGGTCCATTCCTAAATCATCCTTGCAGGACACTTCATGAATGAACAGACGTTTCTGAATCAACCTTTCACGCATTAAAATTATATCGGTTCTAAACCAGATTCTAAAATGACCCAAATCATCAACAGTTTTCACTTTTTTATGATTATTTCAGCTTATATAATTGGATATTTTAATATTTTGTACATTGAAACCAATGTTTAATCAATTGTTTTATCCAATTACGTATTTACTGTATTTTGAATGTTTTTTTATGTAACAAGTATATGACTATAAGTATCCAGGAAAAGATTTTTACCTGAAAACTTACAGGTTTGGTTAACACAGTGTTAAATATGAATGAACTAAGACATGTAACCATTGAAACATATCAATCTTTGATGGATTATAAAAGCATTTTCAGACTGACATTAACTATAGGACATCATTCTATGGAGAGGGATTGAGATTTAGAGTAGAAACATTTAGGAAAACTGTCAATCTTCCAAGGAGTTTGCATCCCAGCAAACAGCCTTCAAGGTCGTTGCAATGAGAAAAACTGCAAAAAGATCCATCGCAGAAGAGGCAGGCTTAAAGTAGCATTTTAATTTTAAAAGTTTATAATTTTAGCTAAGATTATGTCAATGAATAATAATTAAAAAAAAATCAAAACACATAAAAAACATTGAAAGTAAAGCTTTTCTGTGAGTAGTTAAAATATAGTTTTGCAAAACTCAAACACTTACTTGAAGGGTTTGTTGCTAAATAATTAAAACTGTACCTCGCTATATAGTGATCCACCCCGTGCACAAAGAAGAGAGAAAGGCAAAAAGGAAAACTCATTAGCAAAACTACTTTGAAAGCAGGACACAATGACACGTTGGAGTGGAACGATGATGGTTTTATTGCAAAAAAAAGAAAAAATGAACAGACAAAATCTCCCAACTTCCTTGATTTCCTGTGAGACTTCAATCATTCAAAGAACACCGTACAAAATAATTGGCCACCAACGCTCCAGAACAGATATAAAATGTAGTGAAAACAGGGTCTCAGTCTTACTCTGAGAATGAGCCCATTGGAAGCTTGTAAAACAACCTAATATTCTGTGAAAATTACAGACCTCATACAAAAAAATAAGATTTTTTTTTCAATAATAAAAAAGCCAGCATATTTACAGGAAAATAATATTTTCTATGAACCTGGCTTGCCTTAATTCCCAGTGGACCTTTGCTTTATTACAATTTTCCCAGTAACAAACTTGTTACATGTGTCCTTTTTACACTCTGTAAGGCATGGTAATAAACCTTTTGTCAATGCTGCTGCTCTGAAAACAGCTCATTTTAAATATGAAAGTTGGATTACATATTTCAAAAAAAGCACCTCTGCCCTCTTTTAATAATAATCTTTACATTAATGCTTTCAGTTTCTGTCAGCTTTTAAAGTTTCTGTGCATTGCTCAGCCCATTTAAGGCACCAGCTATTCAGTAGGGGAGTCCAGAACAAACCCAGAATGACAGAGTACTACTAAGGCCGTTCTAATGCTATACCTAATATGTACATATAAACATTACTGATGGAAAAATCATAGGCAGCCAATAACTGCACATGCAACCAGTTTTTAAGCAACAAACCATAATGCACAACAAAGTAAAAAAACAAAAAACATTCATTCAATCAGTTGGTTTTGCTTTCTGAACTAAACTGAAGCTAATTAGAGATCATTTTTAGAGTCAAAGCAGCTGCCTGTATGGAGAAAACCTTCCCAAATAGCTGAGAGCTATGAATAAACTATACAGGGAAAATGCAGACGAGGTTGTGCCGTATATCACAGACTGTGAGAGCTGCCGCTGCCAAGCTTGATGAGGAAGGGTATAAAAGTTGATTAAAAAGCTGAAGGTTATGAGGTGAGCGCTGCTTCTTCAATGTGGCCCGAAGTGGGACCCCAGCTAAACAGATTAAAGCCTTTTATTCTGAGACATCTAAACCTGCTTTATGAAAACCAGGGTGGAGTTGTGCACCCAAAATCTATTACAAACCCCAATAAAAAAGGAGACCTCAAACTACGGCTGTGCTTGTTTTATCTGAATGGATCACATACTGAAGACTGCATTACAATGTGGGCCTGCAGAGGATTCTCTCATTTTTTTATGCTTAGTTTAAATCACTAAACCATATTAAGTGTTACAAACAATTGATTTATTAAGGGAAGAATTTAATTTTTAAAAACTGTGATTTAGTCATAGGATAGAAAAGAGATTTGCCCTCTTGTCCTGTTAACTGGTTTTGCTACTCTTAGGCTGTGTCCAAATGTCTTGGTTATGCCATTTTAATGGGGGTCCAAATGTGTAGTGGATGGAAAAGTAGTGGACTCGAAATTTCTCACAATGCAACTTAAAAAGTAGTGATCATCCATGGTCACTAGACAAGCAGATATATCCTGCAATGCTTTGCGAGAAGAGCTCTACTCGCAGAGAATCATGGGACTTGTTACAGGAGCCCGCTGTCGCCCATGACTGTCGCTATGCGGCAACGGCGACAAATAACAAAGATGGCGCAGGCACTGTGGGGAGGCGGAGTTACGTAAGCGAAAAGTAGCGATCATCTGTCCGAACGGTCAGTTAACTGAGTTCACTATAAAATCTACTATATATTACCCACTCTATATGGTCATTGAGGGATTTAGGGGTTAGGGAGGACATCAAGGGCAGCCGCTCCACTGTTATTTACAACCATTTTGTAAATAACAGCGGAACCTCCAAAAGATTCCATATTTAGCTTTAATTTTTAGTATTTTCTTCAACAGATGTTTTCACCTTGAGTTCTCTGATGGAGGCCATTTTTACTTTATAACTGAAACTAATAACCTAATTTTATGAAATGTTTAAACTACTTAGTATAATGTATGCAGAATTTTCCTGATTCTACAGGGTTACATTTTCAAATAGAGCACAGGTGGGAAAACTTTTTTCCCTCGATTGAAAATATAATGTAAAAACTGGATTTTGTTATTTTCTCACTACATTTGTCTGACACCAATATTTGGCAGACAAAAGGATTCTTTTATTTTTTTCCTGTAATGTTGTGGTGAGACAGCAAAGGCCACTCTGATCCCTGCATCATTCCTGAGGAAACAAAGCAAAGGCTTTAAGTGAAGAAGTGTGGCAAAGAATCGAGGAGGAAGAGATGAGATCACTGATGTTGTCAGCTCCTTTGACTGAAACTTAGTTTCATAAGAATTGTTGTTTTTTGGGGAAAACAATTAACAAGCCTTTCCCATTGGGAGCCATTATATCCCGGATCTGCATGGACCTGTTTTCTTTTCCCAACTCGTAGATTAGGTTTCTTATTTCCATGACCATTTCACATTCTCAGAGGAGCCAAACCCCAACATTACAGCATGCTCTGCAGTGATGTCAGCTGCTCACCAAGCTATCTGAATAATCCAAAATTCAACAGAGGGATCTGTTCAATGCGTCTCCCTCTCTATGTACATTTTGGCGATCCTGCCCCATGATGGCTGAGCGTAGAGCAGCAGCAGTAAAACTGTTGGTGGTTTATGTAGCCACATAATGTCAGATGATGACAGCCGTACCAGTTACATCTAGTATTTATAACAGATCACTTTGATCTTGAGTTTAAAAAAAACTCTTAATGACCAATTGGTGTAGAGACAGAGATCTGAAATTATTCAGGAGGAAAAAATGGAAAAGACTGCGGTGCAGCCTGTTATCAGCCCTAAGCGGGAGAAGATGGGAGGCCTGGGCTGTTTGAAAGTTCACTGAGAAGTTAAATACCAGCTGCTCTTCAAACTGCATGGATGGAATAACTTATGTCAAAGTAGTTTAAGTTATCATTAAACACCCTTTTTTAAACAGTTTGTGATTGGTGGAGTTTTTACAGTAGGTATCTGCGTGTAGCCATTTGACCTTTGTGTTTCAGATTAAGAAATAATGAGCAATTGCCTGAACCTGGTATATGATCAAGTGCCATCACTTTACCAATGGGAAGCAGACAGAAATTGACTGGTAACTGAAATTAGACATTTTTTTGGCTTAAATAGGCCTGAATGGTAACTTTCAAAATTCCACCTAGCTGCTATTAAGTTGGACTGACAAGAGTCTTTGGTGCGGAAGCTGTTATTGAAAAAAAAAAGTTAGCTATTTTTAGTATCAGTGATGTGTTTAAAAAGAAAAACAGTGAAAGCACAGAATTGTAAGAAGAGGTAAATTAAACAAACGGTATTTATACGATAGGTCTATTATCCATTAAGGCTGTAAGACTAGGGAAGAGAGCAAGACTTTCAGCAGATAACAGCAAGGCTGAACAGAGGACAGCAAATGTGCTCTGTTTTATTCTTTGGAGCCGTTATCCTTTATTTAAGGGAAACTTTGATTTTAAAATGTTTATGGGATCCTGAGAACTATGCTAAGGATTACATTATTTCTAGCCTGTAATGTTATAGGCAGTTCTATAACCATTATGTCTGTTTGGAAATTGCAAAATAATTTTTAAATGCTTTTTTATTGGTTATTTTGGAAACCTTTTCATTACTTAATTCTTCTTAATTTTAAAAAGAAATCAAAGCGGTGGAAAATTAGCATTGACGTATCAAAGCTTCATCAAGTTCAAACATCATAACCCTGCATCCAAAGTTGGACTCATCTTTAAATCAAACCAGCAAAGAGCATTCATTGTAAATATCCATGTGGCTGATAGGTCGATTAGTGACCTAAGAGCGCATTTGACCAAAACCAGACAACAGTCATCTTAGTGAATCTATTGACATTTCAAACAATATAGCTACTCCAAGGCACGCCTACTGAAGTAAAAAAAAAAAAAACATGGTAGAAACTAATTTACATCCTTTAACTTGTGCAGCTTGACTCTTAGAACCAGGTACAAGCTGCTTTACCTTGGCATGGTTACACATCTGTACTTAGTTAAACCGATATGAATTCCTGCCATATATGTTTGTAATTTTCTCGTTAATGCTACAGCCTAGGCGGCACAGCAGCTGGTGAGGGAGTTGGCAGATTAAAAAATTGAAACAATGGATTATTTTGAGTAAAGTCACGCACAATCAACGCTTACAAGCATCCCTTTTTCATCAGCTTATCTGTATCAGTTTAGCTATGAAATGACAACAAGAGTAAGCAGCTGCAGACAGCTTGTAGATCAAGAGCTGCCAGGAATATGCTACACACAAAGACTAAGATACTTAAGCGAGTCCTTCAGCTGTTTGGAAAATAATAGTGAAAGAATTAAAAATAAGATTTTAGGAACAGTTTATTTAATAAGAAAGCAAACTGAAACTGCCTTTTGCACCATTCTTACTGTATGAGACAGAAAAAGAAATAAACTTCAAGTTTGAAAAAATAAACAACGTTGCTATGATAACCGTTGATTGTTTAGGTTTAGGAACAGCTGAGTGACGAGAGTAAAGATGCACACTGATCAATTACATGTGAAGGGGACAAGTTAAACTTCTATGACTGGTTAGCATGTGGTTCTGTCATACATCCGCAGTGGCGTTACACCAAACATTGGTCATGTTAGTGTCAGCATTATGCATATGGCTGGTTACCAGAATCGGAGTACAAAAATGTTCCAAAACCAGTTTTACGATCAGTCATACTGTATTTTAGGTGCTGGCACATCTGATATTTAAAGTCTTTGTAAAATGATGCCAGATAAAGTGACAGGGGGACCAGACTTTAGTGGAGTCCTACAAGTCAGCTGATTGGAAGACTTCAACACTTTTCCCTAACTTGTAGGAAAGGCCAGAGAGCCACTGAACATTTAAAGGTGTCATCTTACCAGAAAATGCAATAATTATTGCTTCTCTATTTTCAGATAAAATCATTTATATAAACACTGACATTTAATAGTTTAATTTAAACAGCTTGATGTTGTGATATTTCTACCGTAGGTTAATAAACCATGAGAATCTTAAACTAGACCATGCCTGCACACTCGGCTCCATCGCTCTGCTTTACCTCGTGTATGACGCGCCAGCAAGTCTCCCTTTTTATCTTGTAAATTTCCCTTTCACTTAATGATACTTTAGTTTTACGAAAGCATGCAATATAATTTGCTTTAAATACTGGTTTTAGCCATAATAAATGTTTCACTTGTGTGTGAAAATGCACAAAGACCTCTTAGGAGATCCTTTTCTAAATGCCACTGAAATTGTGAGGTTCCATTGGAGCAGAGCTCATTAATTCAGCGGAATAAATACATTGATAACGAGACTGCAAACAGCTAACCTGTAGAAAAAAACGACAGGTGCGAACACAAACTGGCAGAAAACAAAACCTCGTTCACATTGTTCGACACGTCATTTTAGGCCAAGCACGAACAGGTGAAATCTCTAAGGCGTTCCAACTTTGTTGCAGGTCTTTGCTACAGACTTGAAATACAATCCAGAAGAAAAAAAAAATCTTTAAGGTTAAGTGGTTACAATCAAGGCAGAGCAAAATTGTTCATGAAGCTCAATGTGGAAGCTCAGAAATTTCCTTTATGCTTTTCAGATGAAATGATGCATCCTGTAAAGACGTGTCTGTCACTTGTTGACTGAATCCCTGTTTGTACTCATTTGTCCTCAAACATACCACTCTCTGCGTGAAATCACAGATCCGTCTATATGCGACACGTAGTCACTGTCTGTACCATTTTCATAGCAGTCATCCGGAAGGTAGGGGGAGCCGTTGTTCACAATGGGGCTGTGCACAGGAGGCCCACAGGGGTGCATGTTTTGGTTATTGTAGTGCTCTGGGTAATAGTTTCCCTCCTTCATGCCCCTATGAATATCCCCCCTGTCGTTCCAGTCATCCCTGTCCTTCCGCTCAGGAGTGTAGTCTGGGTAAATAATGTCCCCCCCCAGTTTGGGTTTCAGCTCCTGGCTACCTTTGCTCATCTTGTCCCCATAAACCTCCTGCAGCTCATGAGGCTGTAGAACATCTATCTGAGACTCCTTCTGCATGTCAGAAGGTCCCAAATACTGTTTGGTGTAGTAGTCTCCTCTGAAGGTTCTCCGCTGGCGCATAAAACAAGCACCAGTGAGGATCAGCAGGAGAATCAGAAAGAGAACCCCACCCACTACCCCGCCAATAATAGTGCCAAGGCTGCCATCGTGGATAGAGGCCAGGGTGGGGGAGGTGAACGGAGCTCTGCGCCGGTCCACATCCTTTCCGGTTCCGGACTCATAGCGGACGGGGGAGGCAGTGGTAGTTGGGGCTGCAGTGGTGGGAGGGGGATCTGCAGAGCAAACATAAAAGGATTTAAACCATAGAAAACAGACAGCAACTGGAGTGAGAGGAGAGTCGTAAAACTATAGGAAGGCAAAGCCATTATGTTCTGTAACAACTGATAAGGCAAATCTGACTCTTTTATTGATTTATAAAAACACTGTTGAGAGTTAGAGCTTCTTTTGAAAATCAGAAAGTGAAATTATAGCAGCAAAAAAAATACGCAAGGTCTTCTCACAACATCCATCTTTAATTCATGTAGTCTCATTACATTTACAGACTACAATGTATTTAACAGTTTGTGATGTTTCAATACATAATGTAAGGTTATGTGAAGCTGTGCAGTGAAAAACAAAGAACTAAGTGGACAGATTTTTGTTCTTTTAATCAAGAAAATCTAAATTATGTTAACTTCTGTGACCGTATATCTGATAGCCTAAAAAAACGAAATGGCGTTCGCTGCAGAAATATTTGAGAGGAGCTGAAGCAGCTTCAACAGTTTTAACTCTACCCAACCTGCCTAAACTCCACCCATTGTCTATGTGCAGTTCAATCAATTGTGACGTCCCCACTCCGATCCCACTGAAAAGCTAACTTTAGCTACTGTACCTGAGCCAAAAGCATAACCTTGAGCAGGTTGTGTTTTTGAAAAAAATGTGTGGGATAAAATATCAAAAGAGATGCTATAAAATAGTATCTTTGAATTGATATTAAAAAATAAAAAGCTAAAGCTGTTACAAGCTGTCACTGCATTAATCAAGCAGCTGATTGCTAGTATATACAGAGGAAAACTGATTCTGAACACTAGCCTGAATGTTCTGCTCCATGGTGAACCTTGGTGGTGACAGTATCATGGTGGGGTTGATGGGAAAACTAATGAAATGACATCAAGATAAATACAGTTTTAAAATGGGCTCACTTTTCAGAAAGACACATTGCAATGACATAGCTTAAAGGAATAGTACACCCAAAACATGATTAGCCTTCATTTTCTACTCACCCCCATGCTGAACAACACTCTGGAGTACTTTTTTGATATCTCAAATGCATCTTGAGATCTGGGAGGCTTCTTGCTGTCTGCTGACATTCAAATAATGGAGGTCTATGGTGACCGAGACAGAAAGGTCCATAAAAGTCCACAAAAAACGTGTCAATATTCCTCCATACTGGTCGTCCAATGTATTCCAAGTGTCCTGAGTGGGTAGCATCCAGAATCTACTTGAAACGAAGTCATTTAGAATGTTTTTAGAGCATAAACAGTAGTGTATAGGATTTCCTGAAAGCGCGCACATGTGCGATCATGACGCTACGGAAGCCGGCAGACCAAACCAGATGAAAGTGCGCATTCAGCGTCTGCTCTTCCAATAATGCAAGCGTAGAAGAAGAAATGTGCCGTTTACCTGTGCAAAGAAAGAAACAACGAAAGAAAAATGTCTGAGGACTTCAGTGTTGAGGAAGAGCATGAGTTCTTTGCCGAGCTGAATGCGCTGGTTTGGTCTGCCGGCTTCCGTAGCGTCGTGATCGCGCATGTGCGCGCTTTCAGGAAATCCTATACACTACTGTTTATGCTCTAAAAACATTCTAAATGACTTCGTTTCGAGTAAATTCTGGATGCTACTCACTCAGGAAACTTGGAATACATTGGACGAGCAGTATGGAGGAATATTGAAATGTTTTTTTGTGGACTTTTATGGACCTTTCTGCCTCGGGCGCTGGGTACCTCCATTATTTGAATGTCAGCAGACAGCAAGAAGCCTCCCAGATCTCCAGATGCATTTGAGATATCAAAAAAGTACTCCAGAGTGTTGTTCAGCATGGGGGTGAGTAGAAAATGAAGGCTAATCATGTTTTGGGTGTACTATTCCTTTAAGTCAAAGCGTATCTTGTTTCGATGGCCCAGTGAAAGCATAGAGATTGAGTGAATTGAGAATCTATGAAAGACTGATGATCATAGATGCTTAATTTTGAAGAATGAGCTTAAACTGACTACTTTACAGCTCTGAATGTATAAATTTGGTGGAGACCTACCAGCAAGAGACTTACCGGTAGTGCTATAACAGCAACATAACGATACATCTCTGGGTCTAAATACAAACTCATACCAAAATCGCATCATTTGTCAAAACCATGGACTCCTTTCCTTTCACTAGCAAATATACACTAGTTTGTCTTGTATAATCAATAAAACACCATGAAGTTTGTTACAGTAAAATGGTATAAATATTTGTGGAAGGTACTTTAAGTGTTAAGTGACAGGTTGTGTCAGCATGTGAGACTCAGATGGTCTACCTGCTTCATTTCTAAAGCCAGCAGAGCGAGAGACATGTGAGAAGATGAAACCCTGTTTGATCGATGCAAGGTTTCCTGAATCTGATGTACAGTATCCTCCAGCTCTTCTGATTGTAGACAGAGCTGCTTGGAGCTCAAGGTCAGGATAAGTGTCTCCAGGCTGACCTGGAGCCTGTAGGTCTAACCCAATTCGATAGGCTCTCGTGCAGATAATAAGCCTAAGTGCATTAAGAACACAGTCTAGGTCCTTGTAGACCTATAATTACTGCCACAGTTGGTTAAGTAAGAATCTAATTACCTAATATTGCACGCAAGGTGTGAGAGCAAAGGATCAGAAGGAAAGTAAGACATTAGAGAAGATAGCAGACACAGATCAAGGTTGGTGAAGTTAAACACTTGCTGTTGTTTTGGTTTTTCAATTAACAACATTTTGTTTAGGGAAAAGGAATCTAAAGGGCATGTAGCTGACTATCTATAAAGAGATGTGCAAAGAAAGCCCAAGGCTACAGAGAAAAACTGGGAATGTGAAACATAAAAGCTTAAAGGGGGCAGTGGATATAACTGAGTTCGAACAGGTCATTTCCACAGGGGATGGAGGCAAGAGGATGCATGCCCAAGACTTAATATTTGACAAGAAAAACAAGATAATTGCTCAGTGCAAATCTGTTCTGGACAAGATGTCAGCTGTGCTTTCATTCGGAGCAGGCCTGCCTGAAAACAGGCAGTCCACAGATGCAGCCTGTCAGTGTGTTTTGGGAATCCTGAGGCTCTTTCCTGGTCCTCAGTAAGATACCAGGATGACTGTGATGGTTAGAGGAAAACAGTGCCCAAAAGTAGCTTTTTACTTTGCTTGGAAGAATAAAATTAAATAAAAGGAATGATGAGAGGTAAAAATATAAAAAAAGAAAAGAAAAGAAGGGTTTTTAGTTTTCAGAGCCAACAATGTAATGAAGGAACAATGACAAAGGAAGCAGATGGGGGCAACTTAGATTCCTTAAGGTTTATTTTTAGGATGACCTGCAGCTCAAAACTATTCCCACAATGCTGAACATTTTGTCACATACCAGCAACGTTTAATATGACATTCAAGTTTTACTAATAGATATTCCACAGTTGTTGCTGAATGAGGTCTCAAAACAGACTTCCACATGCTGCAAATCAGAGAATCTGATTCATTATGTCCTGCTGTGTAACCTGACCTTAACAAAGCACAGTAAAAAGGTGATATGGGGGAAAACTTTGCTGAACCAGCAGGGATAAACAGCTTCTTTCTTATCTGAGTCATCTAATGTAGCAAAAACCACAACACAAGAAGCTTTTGGTTCTAAGATTGTTTATCTATGCCCCGTGCTCCTCTGTTGCCAGGAACGTGTGAAAGTGCATCTGGACACAGACATTTTAGATTTATATGAAACCTTAGATGTTCTAGCAGCCTGAATCACTGAGATTTATCCTACATGAATATTGCTAAATGTAAATAAAAACTAAACTTAAACTAGCATTGTTTTTCATGCTAATGTTCAGCAGATCTGGTAATACAGTATCTAACCACACTGTGAGAGAAAGTAAAAAGTACCTTGAACCCAGAAGGTGACATCTTGAATGCTGCGACCAATGTCATTAGTCACCTCACAGCGATAGACTGCTGAGTCATTGCGCTCCAGTGGACGTGTGAAAGAAAGATTGTTGTTTGAGATCTTAACACCTTCCGGCATTGATCCATCCATCCTAGAACAGAAATTAAACGTGATATATTCTACCGTGCAGACAAAACGGAAAAGTCAACACTTGAGCAGTTATTGCATCATGAAAGATTTACTCTTTTTATTTTTAGCTTTAAACTGTTAAAATCATTTTTAAGTAATCAAATCCATTCCCAAAGAAGTATTTCCCATTTTTCATCCCTATCTAGGTAATCCTCATGAACTGATACTTCCAGCTCTAGAATGCACCTAGAAATACTGGTCATGGAAGTTTTGTACAGGACTAAGAACAGAAGAGTCCAACTTATATAATTACATGACTGTTCATCTGTTGATGAAATGTTTTAGGGTTGAAATATCTTACCGTATTTTCACGACTATAAGGCGCACTTAAACGTCTTTTTTTTCCCTCAAAATGTGCGGTGCGCCCTATGGTGCGGTGCGCCCTATGTGTGTTGTAACTGCGACTTTTGAGACCACCTCATTGAGGAGATGATGAAAGAGTGGCTGAATGTAAGGAGACCAGGTGTTTTTTTTTTCCACCCCTCACCATCGCTGTTAATATGTAACTCCATGCGTGCCCATCTCACAGCTGATGTGAAAAACATGGGGAAACAAATGAATGCTGTGCTTGCTGTTCAACCGCTCGACATCTGTGTGAACCGGACCCAGCAGGTGCAGCAGAAGCAGCGAGTTTACATGCAAAGTCAATGGTTGACGCGCGTATAGGTGCAGCAAAAGGTCCTGCAGCGCGTTTTGGTGCAGCACGTCGGGAGCGTTTAAGCATCTGACGCACCGCCAACGCGCTGCTGCTGCTCAGATGGAAAAATTGAAGTTTTGCTGCTGGACGCGCCGCATCAACCAATCAGAGAAGCTGATCTGGGAGCTGACAGCGAGACAGACAGCGCTCTGATGACATATGATATTAGATGAAAAAGGCTGGATAGATGCGTGGCTGAGGCAGGTGTATCTGAGAAGACTAGGTGGTTTTTTCCACGCATCACCATCGCTGCGTGCCCATCTCACAGCCGATGTGAAAAAAAGGTGAATCAAATGAACGCTGTGCTCGCCGTTATCCCGGGGGTCTGACAAAGGAACTTCAACCGCCCAACATCGGTGTGGAGCGCCCGTTCAAAGTAAGGCTGCGAGCGGCGTGGGAGCGATGGATGACAGACTGAGACCACAGTTTCAGGATAAATGGAAGGCAGCGCCGGGCAAGTTACGCCACAGTTTGCGGATGGATTGTAGATGGACTGTGTCTGCTGGCTCTGTTGTTCAAGCTTTTGCAAAAGCCGGCATTATTTCTGAGGAGCCGCGCTGCACGGAAAGTGACTCTGACAGCGCAAAAGGGGAAACTGGCATGTCTGATTTAGCGCAGCTGTTTAATTCAGAAACAGAGGATGATGACTTTGAGGGGTTTGATTAATACTTTGTAATAAATACTTGAATAAAGCACAATCATACTCAGTTTTGCTCCCGCTCTATTTTTCTACCTGAAAACTTAATTCAACAGCAGGCTCTGGGCCGCGGCGCATCCGGACTCACCTCGGCAGGTGTTTTTTCATCTAAATCTTTTTAAGTGAGAAAGTCCACCTGAAAATTTAATCATTGCAGTCAGCTCATCCAGATTATTATCCTGCCTATGTTTTAAGTTAATTTATGCGTCAATAAACGAAGAAGAAGGGGAAACTGGCATGTCGGATTTAGCGCAGCTGTTTAATTCAGAAACAGAGGATGATGACTTTGATGGGTTTGATTAATACTCTGTAATAAATACATTAATAAAGCACAATCATACTCAGTTTTGCTCCCGCTCTATTTTTCTACCTGAAAACTTAATTCAACAGCAGGCTCTGGGCCGCGGCGCATCCGGACTCACCTCGGCAGGTGTTTTTTCATCTAAATAATCTAAATCTTTTTAAGTGAGAAAGTCCACTTGAAAATTTAATCATTGCAGTCAGTTCATCCAGATTATTATCCTATGTTTTAAGTTAATGTATGCGTCAATAAACGAAGAAGAAGGGGAAACCGGCATGTCGGATTTAGCGCAGCTGTTTAATTCAGAAACAGAGGATGAGGACTTTGAGGGGTTTGATTAATACTTTGTAATAAATACATGAATAAAGCACAATCATACTCAGTTTTGCTCCCGCTCTATTTTTCTACCTGAAAACTTAATTCAACAGCAGCCTCTGGGCCGCGGCGCGGGCTCACCTCGGCAGGTGTTTTTTCATCTAAATAATCTAAATCTTTTTAAGTGAGAAAGTCCACCTGAAAATTTAATCATTGCAGTCAGTTCATCCAGATTATTATCCTGCCTATGTTTTAAGTTAATTTATGCGTCAATAAATTGTATCAGAGGAGTAATCACAGCCCTGTGTCATCAGCGATGTGTCTCTCATGGCCAGCTCCCAGGTTTGAATAATACTTTGTAATAAATACACCTTGCAGCTTTATTTGCTGTGATCAGTGGGAATAAAGTAGTTTTAATATGTTTTTAAGTGGGAAAATCCACCTGAGAGGACATGTACCTGTATATAAAAAACGCGCCCTATAGTCGGGTGCGCCTTATGTGTGTGTTAAATACAGAAATGGGACACATAACTGAGAGTGCGCCTTTTAGTCCGGTGCGCCTTATGGTCGTGAAAATACGGTAAAAGTAAAGCAGCAGGAAAAAAACACACTAAAAAACAACAAGGCTCAACTACATATTGTGATAGAACACCAAATTGAAAAAATAAATAAATAAATAAATAAAATCACTGCATTGATGCAAAAAGTTGGTCTGTTTGGAGTCCTGGATGATGAGAAGTTGTCACCAAGGAATCATTTTTTCATTAAGGGTGCAGTGCTAGGGTTAACAGTACCAGGGTCAGGGCTAGACTGCCCGTACTTTACAAAGCAGAACAAACTACTGATTTTACTGTAATGGAGAATTAATGAGCTGTTTTAAGGTACAGCTCCAAATAGCAACCAGTCTCATGTTCTGTTTGATTTTACTTTGTGAAATAAATCTTTTGGTACGGATATAAAATAACTATTTGTATATTTTGCACCCTCTTATTTTCTAGCTCATACAACCAGCCAATTTCTTTATTGTACTTCAGTGGAAGCTTTTACTAAATTATGATTCTCAAACTTTACATTGTTGTGTTGGACAACATGACTGTATTTAACACTTTTACAAAAGTTTCTAAGTACCAGTGAAGATTTTACTACTCTAAACCTGCTAAAAGGGCTCAGACAGTTTCATCTAATGATTATCTGCGGCCCTTCAGAGAATTTAGTCCTCACATGAGTTTTTAGTGCCATTCAAGAGATTTGAGGCACCAAATCAAGATGTGTGAAGCAATTGCTTATGTGTTTTTAGTTTAAATAAAGAATATTATATCACAAATCAGTACAGTGAGTTTTCCCCTAAAGGATTTAGTAGCAAAAGTGTTTGAAAATACAGCATATTCCTGATTTATTAGTACCTTTCCTTAAAATAAACTTTGACTCAAATATAGAATATCACAATCTAATGTTTATTATGGGAACTTGGTGACCCCAAGCCTAAAAAGCAACTATAAACCTTCAAATATAGAAAACGTTATATATTGCTTTTTTTTTTTTTTTTTACTGTGCTCTTTAATATCTACTGAAGTGTGAAACTATTTGTCCTCTGAGTCATACTCCAGGGAAAAACAAGTCTTTGACTTTTGTAACTTCTGTCAAGTTACAAAAGTCAAGTTACTAATTAAAAGTTCCTGATGCTGGTCAACTAAAAAAAGGTCATGTAAAACTTACAGAAAATGCTTTATTTATTTGATAAAAAAGGATATTTAAAAACAATTTTACGCATGCAGTTTTCTCCCCAAATGAAGAAATGTACACACATTAAAGGACATTGTGCGTGAGGTGAAGTATATTTAACGATAACTGTATAGAGGGCTGTAACGAAGCATGATAGTTTTACAGTTAATAAACAGAAACTCAACTAATTCAAATAAGGAAAGGAGAGGAATCTTCTACCAATAACCTGTGTTCTGGTAAAGTTTTCTGAATAAAGAATGAACAAGCTGTGTTTGCAGGTGGCCTGTAGGTTTGCTTACAGAAAAGGTGGCAGAGTTAAAAAGAGAAAAAGAGGAGAGTCAATAAAGACACTGACCTGATCCATTTGTAGTCATGGGCAGGAGGGTTGGCTTTGGCTGTGCAGCTGATTTTCACATTTGTTTGACCCACATACCAGATTTGATCAATTCCTTGTAGGGATATATTAGGTGCAACTGTAAACAAACAAGCAACAAATGATTAGATTAAAAATTTGCCTTAGTATAAAAAAAAATAAATACATGTTTTACACCTCTTTCCATTTTCTTTAACCTCCTACAAAAATCTTTTTGGTTATGATGATAATTGTATTTAATAAAATTGTATGTCTAACAATACGAAACTAAAACTTCTTTGTCAAGTGAAAAACAGCTTTGGCAGTGGAACAAAGCATGTATTATGCACAGAACAGCCATGACCTAAGAACTGACAGGAACACTGTACAGCATCTGCTGTAGCACAAACAGATGAAGATCTGATGATGGAAAGTTAGAAAACAGCAGACTCAGTCAGTAGATCATCACTGCCTCATAAACCTCCCTGCACCATCACCTGTAATACATAATTGAAGCCCTGCACATGCTGCTGTAATAATACAAGGCAAACAGTGACACAGACATCCAGTCTTTCCTTTTGATTTCTCTGGAGAACAAATGAAGAACCGTGCATTTCAGGAATAGATGTCACTACTGGAGCCTCTGCTGAACTTTCTTCACAGCTCACAAATGTGCTTCTTTTGCACTTAAAATCCCTTGCCTCTGCACTTGACATGATTTATTGAACTAGAGAGCCTCTTTCTTCCTGCATTAACCTTGCTTTCCTCGTGTCTCCATCCTCTGCTACTTGTGTTGCTGTTAAGGCTTGATCAATATTTAATAAAACACCTTCATTAGTCTGCACTCAGGCAGAGCAAATAGACTGTTAGTTAAGGAAGCATGGTACACCTTAGTGACCCTGACTTTAATTCAGTGAAACTACAGCAAATTGATACTTTAAGTGATGCATTCTCCCTTAAAAAGGGGCCTTTATATCATTAAGCTGTCACTGCTGTCAAGATTTTAAGCAGTTCCAGTTTGAAAGTTTAAATCTTTAGTTTTCCATTATAGACAGCTGTAATTTCAAATGATCTGCTGGAGATCATTCATGCTCATTTTATTCCCATATAACTACACAAAGTGTCTCCATCTTAGTAAATAGTTTCGTAAAAAATGTAAACAACAAAAATTCATTAAATACAGCATAAGTGCGGTACATACCATAATTGTTACAGAGTTGTTACATTTAAAATATAGGCTGGAATAAGGCCTGTTTAGGTTCATCTGCACTTCAGTTTTGATTAGTGTGTCAGTCAGAATTTACTGAACAGAGACCTTCTTAGTTTTTATTGTTTTTAGGTTGGCAAAGTAGGAAAAGTTACATTTGTTTTGCAGTATACTATAAATAGCAGCATTTATTGCAAAAATGAAATAAATTTTCAAAGACTGATAAAAAAAATGAAAGAAATAGTTGAAGCTAAATTGTCAGAGACAGTTGGTGAAACAATAAAATGATGAAGAGAGAAAAGTATCAAATCTGTGAAGCAAAATACACAAGTTTATGATCAGTATGGATTACACAACCTATTTACTCTGTGTTTTGAACAAGGAAATCCTGAAACGTTGATTTTTCAACATGTAAAGTTTATATTTCGTTTTTGAACAATTATACATGATTCAATAGCCAAATAGATGCAGAACATTATCAAAGTAAAAGAAAAAATGTCTGTAATTCATATGTCGACAGTCAATTATATATATAAAAACAAAAAAATCTCTGTTGTAATTATGTGAGGGAGTTGTGTTGATTTAGTACTTACATTGAACATTTAACTTGTAGGGTATGCGGAATTCTGTTTGCAGAGTTGGGTGGCGCACCACACAGGTGAGCGTCTTTCCTTGAGCGTAACTCTGAGGTTTCCACATGTAGTTAACTCGCACTGTAGTGGTACGATTTAGATCCTCCTGCTTTTGCCCGTCAGATCTACCATACAGCTCAGCCTCCCAGAAAACCTCAGCGGCAGGACGGCCACGCTCTGCTATGCAAGTAGCCACCAGCGCCTCATCCCCACCATCCAGAAGAGCTGCAGGACCTGCAGATACGTACACCTTGGGCTCCACTGTTTACAAGAGGAAAAAAAATGGATTGGAAACAACATCTTAAAACAATTATTGATTGTTTTGTATGCATGCATGAATAAGTAATGTCCAGTGGCCTCAATATACTTAACTGCAAAAGAGGTAACATCGATTCTGCACTTTCAACAGAGCAGACATCAGGAAGTTGATGTCATGCCCTGTATTTATTTTTTTTGTTATTCAGAATGAGAAACAACTTTAGTTGTCAATTTAGTTTGCACAAACAAGGAACCCAACTATGGTTTTCCATCACCGATATTGTAATCAACAGTACAGACAACCACACTAGGGCTGAATGATTTTGCCGAAAAATCAAAATTGCAATTATTTTAGACAGTTATTGCTATTTTATTTTAATTTTCCTATGCACTAGCCACAAGCAAGTCAATGTTTTACTCCGGGGTTTCAGTTGTTTCATTCCCTTGAAAGCTTGCTTGTGCAGGGTACATTGTTGCATGATTTCACTGTAACCTTTGCTTGGAAAAGTGCTTATTTCTACTTGCATACATGGATCTGCATGCTAGCTGAAAATGTTTATTTCTTTTTATGGAAGCAAACCCACAATAAACACATTACTGCCACTGCAATTAAAAAATTTGTCTCTTAGTCTTGTCAAATGTAACGTAACCAAAATTGAGGGCCTCTGCGATTTGAAAATTACATTTTCTAAAATTGCGATTATATTGCAAATGCAATTAATTGCCCAGCCCTAAACCACACTATATAAAAGTGCGCTTAAAGAGGGAAAATACGACTATATAAAAGTAGTATGTACTAGTAAGCGTTTATATTTGGGGGATTTTCTGAGCAGTCCTGCTGCATCCTGTCTTTATGCAGCTATGTTGGACGCCTGGATGACATTGAAGGTGACGTCATCTGCAAACTTCAGGAGCTTTAGAGATGGGTCCAATAAGGGGCAGCCATTTGTGTCCAAAAGTTACTAGTTTATTCCAGTGAGTCATCAGAATCACACAAAACAACAAACCACTAACTATCACCACCGACCGTCAGGAAAGGTAAAGAAAAAGTAGGTACAGTAAGAGGACTGTACATAGGAACAAAGGAGAACACTCACTGGTCGGGAACACAAGAAAACAACCAGCATGATTAAAACTGGTTCATTTCTTCTGATTTGTACTGCAGTGCACCATCCCCACTTTCTCTGCTAGCTAAAACCAAATCAAACAACAAACAAGTTGTTGATCAGCATGTAAAGCTTTAGAAATGGAGCTCAAACTACAATCTCTCATTCTTGTCAGCAAAAAAAAGATGTCCAACAAGAAATGAACAAATCTAGAGGTACCCCCCTGTTTCCAAAAATAACAAGCCATCTCATGTACCCCTAGGAGGGGCGGGGACGCCCATCTCACAGCTCCAACTCACATTCTTTCCTCACTTCTTTCTGCCCCTCCTTGCAGCCCTATGACCTTTAAAACAGTAGCTGCTCTATAGTAGCAGCTGAAACATCAGAATATCTCATTCAGACAGACGTGTTAATTTGGAGTCGAATTCAGAAAAGGAAGGGAACTCTCTGAATGTGTGGAAAAGGGTTGGGAGTGAGAGGGTAACAATTTCCCTTCAGCAAACTGGCTGCATTGGCCCTTTTTGTTTCACTGACACACACACCCTGATGGTTTGATACTGATGTGAAAGATTCTTGAGGGGAATTGAGGGATAAATGTTTTTGGAAGCAAAATAAAATGAAAAGTTATATCTAAAAAAACCCACCATGACTGTGATGGTTACTGTATAGCAATAACACGAGCACATTGCGACATTCTGACTCATATTATATTTGGGGAAACCCAGAATCTTTTTAACAGGCCAAATGCAGATCTGAAACTACTTTATTGCAATCAAGCCATGACACTTATCTCATGTCAAACCAACTGAAAAACTCAATTTAAAGACTTATTAAGCCAGTCATTAACCAGCTAAATTAGAGAGCTGTGTTACTAAAATAGGAGACTTATAATTTAATTTGCCGAGCTTGCATGCTTTACAAAAAGGCAGCAGTAGTTTCTTATCTGTAAAATGCACTTTGTAAACCTAATTGCATCCCTGTTTTTTAAAGGTAACTCACTTGCTTGGTAGATTTCCATTGACCCACCAGCAGTTAAACACAAAGGCTTATTGTAGCTTATTCACTTAGGGTAATATTTTTCTTCCTTCTGCTGACATGAGAGGGTTTTTACCTCGAGCGGAGTAGCACAGCGCCTACTAAACTGATGCCTAAATATTATGTCCTTTCCTGTTGTTGTTGAAAAAGAAGAAAAGAAAACTCAGGCCAGAAAGCTTATGCGTGGGTAAATATTTTGGTTTCTCTCTCCTGATATTGTTCATATTCAAGATGTTTGTATCAAGAGTGTGACTTCTGAAATTACGCCAACATCCACTGCACCTGTTAATCATTACAAAGTGTGCCGTGACTTTAGTACATTACTCAAGGGCTTGACTGTTCAATGTTTTTACTGTAGCTAATTTAAAAGGAATGGAAATGCAGTCGTGTGCTTTTCAAGATCCTCAAAATATAAACAGGAATCAAACGAGGAATCTAGGGATAAAAAAAGTAACCAGTTGAAAAGGACGTAAGTATAACACATATGGAATAAATCTCAAATCAAAGGCTATGTTAGAGGTCAAGGTTTATAAAAGTAATTCTTTTTTGTTCATAATTGTACTCCCTGCAGGTTTGTAAGCGAACTGCAGGCTGTCCAGGACAACAGGAACGGCAACTTTAAAGTACATCTAAGACGTATCTGCTGCCGTGCACAGCCTGCTGTTCGCTTACAGGAAGAATTGTTCCACACAGGAAGCGCTCTTCTTATAACTGCACATTCGATCTGACTCATCTGTGGATTTTCAGCTTTCAACACTGTCCTTCTGGACATGAAAGGACTGAAAGCCCATAATCTGGGTTTATATGCTCCTGGATCAGAAACTAGAAACTTACCCACCAACAGGCCCCAGGTGGTTGGGACAAAGAAAGTCACGTCGACCCTACTGATCCTACATAATGGTGTGCCACAGGGTTGTGTTCTCAGTCCTGCCCTCTTCACTCAAGAATGTTCTGCTAATCACTAAGCAAACATGGCCTGAGCATCATTTGCATTAGTGTGACAGTGTGGTACGGAGCTGCATGGCACAGAACAGGAGGGACCGGAGGTGAGGACAGCATAAAGGATTGTGGGATGCCATTAGATGTGGATTTGGTTTGTGTTAGACAAGAACAGAGTTCCCTTCCCGGGGGATGCATTGTTTTTGCCAATTCCATTTTGAAATTGATACAGGAACATTAAAAATAATGGTCTGTTGAGCGATTCTCAACATGATCTCTGAAGCTCTTTCAGTGTTACCAGGGCCTTATTTGTTGCCACTCAGATTAATACTACCTCCTCTCTTGGAAGCTGTGCAGCTTGTGTCGCACTTTCTGTTTTTAGATTAAGTATTAAACAGTGGGGCTGCAAAGTGCTGCATTTGTAGCATGATTGCAGGTAAGCCTTTACTTCATGTAACATTGCAGCAAGAAGGTTCTAGGTTTGAATGGAGTGTCTTTTGCATGGAGTGTGCATGTTGTTCTCCAGGTAATCTGGTTTCCTTTCACAGTCAAGAAATATGACTGCTAGATTGATTGGTGTCTCTAGGAAAAATGTTATGCATGGCTGTATGTCTTAGTGTTGCCCTGCTATAAACTGGTGGTTCAGGGTGTACTGCTAGGGATAGGCACTAGCCCGCGGTCACCAGCAGTAGAAAAAATGGATTGAACAGTGCTCTATTAGATTGGTGTGGAATAATAACCCTAAATATCGGGTGTTTTACTTGGGCTTCATTGTAATATTTGTTTACCAATGGTCTGAATAAGTTCTGAGGTTTTCATAGAACAGCTGGATTTAAAATGAGAGTTAAAACATACAGGTTCCCCTCTATTTAACAGTTAGGTGAATTCTGAAAGGGATTGGTTGTTTTGGTTTTAGGCTATCACATCAAACTTTTTAATTTAACTATTGGAAACAATTTTAAAAACCAATATATAAATAATTCTTTAAGGCAGTGAATTATTTATATATTATTTAAAATGGCATTGATCATAATTTGGTTAGTGCCATTTGCTGCAGTGGAATTGTGAGCTTCATTATGATAACAAAGAGTAATTTGAAATATAGGTAGCAATACACAAACAAAAAAATGTATATAAAATAGAATATGGGAATGGCAACCAGCTGACTTTAGTTCTTTGCACTGTGAAGCTCCTTGTCTACGAAAACTACCCATTAGGGTAACCTAATTCCCACATGGCACATATCAGACACCAAAGGACACATACTTCCTCTGTAATCACATCCTAATTACATCTAAATTGTAAATAAGGCGTGGGTTTACATATGGGTGTGCATGTTTCTCCTATGAGCCAAAAAGTGCCTGAGAAACTGCTTGGAGACGACAGCAAGGTGTAACAGAGCTCTGCCAGGTTCCAGACATTGTGGCTTTTGCAATACTTAATGTAGCACTCGTTAGACATCACAGTCTTCTGTCTCTGTAGGAGGACAAAAAGCTGCACTAAATAGCACAATATCTTATGGTCAACATTGAGTCATATTTAGAGCTTAAGACATAAGCTAAAAGCAGAGAAAGGTCATCAACTTCTTTAAAAATATATTTTATGTGTAAATATGTTTGTATTGCAAACCCTGTTTGCAAGACAGGGTTTTACTCTTTTTTAAACAGTCATTTAATATTTCATGAGCTTAAGTATGGTGTGCTCACTGATCAGAACAATTATGGATTTATACATTTCTGACCTAGCTTTCATTTGTCACTCTAAAAATCAAAGATTATGGTCACAAATTGATTTCTCTAGCTAGATAGCACTTGATAAACTGAGAATGATTTTAAAAAAACCTTTAAGGTAGGATGATAAAAAGCACAAAAAGAGCCAGTAGTTGTTTTGCTTCATCCCAGATCTACATTTTCATCCAACTTGGTTAAATCTAACTGAATGTTATGAGACTCATTTTGCATCACACCCTGCAATTAACTTGTTTCTGTGTCTGATTCAAATTCAGCCTGAAGTTCTTTCATTTTGTTTAAAGGAAACAGATGAGAGACACCGTCATATTTAAAATCGTGTTTTGAAACAGCAGTGACTGCTTTTGGAAGATTAAAACTTAAAATAACTGAGGTCAAGCCAGAGGAGATTCTTCTTAGTTATAGAATCCAACATAAATTTCAAAAGAAATGTCATCATTTCCAAGTAGTAGTTTAAATGTTAGGCAGCATTTGGGAGCAGTTTATTTTATCAGAGCAAGCAGTTAGTGGTCTGTTTTGTTTTGTTTTAACACAAGAAACAGTGAACTGCATTGAAAAAATTTAAATCAAATAAAAATAAAAGAAAAACTCAAAGGACCCTTTGATTATACATTACCTGAAACATTTACAAAGGTTGACGCTTGTGTGTTGCCCAAAGGAAAAGTCGTCACTTTGCAGGTATAGGTTCCAATATCGGCCAAACCAACACCTTCGATGGTAATGGTGGCATCTCGTATGGAAGGGGAAACGAATGTGATGCGTTTGCCATATTCCTTAGCGTATGAAGTTCCATAGTCTGGATTGTAAACTGCCAGGGTAACGGGGCCTGAAGGTGAACGACGTTCCCAGGAGATCTGTGTGAGGCTGAGGTTGGATCCTGCTTCTATTAGGCAGCTGAGAGTGATGTTCTTGCCAAGCACTGCATTCACTTTGTCAGGAACAACCACTTTGTTACTGCTTACACCTGCTGGAAAAACAAGGCAAAAAAGAGGTTGAGATGTTATTAGAAAAGCAGCAAATTAACAGGAAAACTATCACTCAAAATTTGTTCATGAAGTGGAAAGATTATGGTCTTCAATTAATGAATGTAAACCAGAGGTAAGGCATAGATAAAGATTATCAGACAAGAAGGACTTTGTAAAAGTGAGATGTATGATCAATAGATTGGATTAAAATTTACAGGCAGCCAATCAAGATCAGATCTTGTATTATTCTATATTAAAATGGGTAAACAAAAAAAGCAAACAATATCTTTACTTGTACAGATAGAAGCACACCAAATCTTTCCACAACAAATCATGTATGCCAAAGATTTTAGTTTTATTTCCTTCCGTTGGTGAAAGTAGCTTCTGTGTTTAATGCATATTTTTGTTTCCTAATGTAAGAAGAAGCAGACTTCCTGTGCGTGACTGCGGGTTCTGCTTTGCCTCCATAGCGGCACACTTTCACCACAGGACACTCAGACTGCTCCTCTAGCTAATTATTAGAGCACCTTCCAAACTAGCGGATACAACTTTCTGGAAGGAGACGAAACAAAAGAACTAATTGATGTATTTTATTCCTGTTTCTTTACAAGGCCACTAATTTGACTCAGGGGCTACCTCATAACTTTTGTTGTCTTTTTTTAGACATATAAAACATGCTTTGAACATTAAAGGACAGACAGAAAAGGAGAATGCTCCAACAAATTTAGTCACAGATAGATTATCAGTATAAAAGTTATGCTTTCAAAATCTGCTGTTATACTATTTCTAGTGTTTAAAGTTGCTTTCGTGCGATTACAATGAAAAAGCTGCTACGCCTGGAGTTACATCTGCCTGGATGTAGAGTAAAATAAGAGCACTGGTTGCTCTTTACCTGTTGCTATGCACTACCAGTCAGATGCCTAAAAGTACAAGTATACTAAATGTCTGCCTGACTTAGACAGAAAGATTTGACCTGAAAATTATACTACTTGTAAAAAGCAGCCATAGAATATAACTTAAAGTGTCATCCATCATACTTACTAAGATAACACTGCCCTGAAGCTACAGCTGGCAAGCTGGTAGGGGTAACTATATAATCCAAACAGCAAAAAACATTCTGCTGAACAGGCATTTCAGAGCCACAACTCAGTTCACTTCAGGTATACTTTTTGCAAGTTTCTTGCAAGCCTTGGAGAGAGATGGTGTACATTCCCACATGCTGCTATTTATCCCAGGTTCCTCAAAAAATAACCATACACATTTACTTCTAAGGGTGGTTTTAAGAGACTTTAAGAGATGTAACTTTCAGTTCCAAATTCCAAGTTTCAAACTGTGAGACACAACAATTAATATGCTACCAGACCAGGTTAACAGTTAGTATCAGGTAATATTTTCTGGAGGAAGATGAAACAAAAGAGGCCATTTGTGTTTTTTATATATTTTTTATTCCAGCTTAATAAATACAACATATTTTTTTGCTATTTGTACTTTAAACAAAATAGCAACCGGAACTACACAAGGCAGCCATATTGGTTTTAGGGATGGGCTTTAAGAAAATTATTGGAGTTATTGAAATGCAACTTGTGTTAATTTCCCATCAGCTTAGAAGTTTAAACTTCTGACCAAAAAAAAAAAGAAATGTGAAAACTCTGATTAATACACCCATATCTAAGCAGTACAGCAGAGCCCACACTAACAGACTATGATGATGAGTCTATGAGAGATGTACAACACAACCATGCACACACACCTAAGGACCATTTAGATAGACCCAAATCCTTATATGTTTTTGGACCCCATCAACATGTTTGAACATGTAAATGCCAAGTGAAAAACTCCAACCCAAATTCCAACCACGGACTTTACTGAGTCATGGTGATTTAATACAAACTGCACTCACTGGATGATCAAACTGCATCCACAACAATTTAAAAACGATCAAATCACAGAATAAACTGGTTTGTAACACAGTACTAATGTTTACTACAAAGGCTTGCATTTTGTGCTAATACAACCCATCAGACAGACTTGAACGTAAAAATACATTTAGGGTAGGAGTTAAGAGGTTCATCCAAAGTGATGAAAAGTGAAACGTCATTTAAGGTATTTGCAGGAAGTGTAGTTTTGTGTTTACTTAAAGGCCAACATATCTTCACCTAAGCTCTAGTTCAGGTGAATCCGGTGATCAGTTTACAGACCCTCTGGTCTGATTCTATATGTTTTGAAGAAATGGGACTGGAGCATGTCAAGTCAGTGTCCAAGCGGTGTCTTTTAGCCTTAAGGCGTTGTCTATCAACATTATGTCAAATTTGTGATGAGCTGTAAACCAGAGCACATCCAACGTTTTAGCCAACTTAAATAGAAGGTGGATGTGTAGCTGGTAAAGTCAGATTTCAAATTCTAAAGTAAAATGTTAAATTAACTTTAATTAAGAGAGAAAACAAATTCCAACTGGATTCAGGTGCTCCTTTCATGCTCCTAATAAAAACCTTTTGAGAGTCAGTTATGTCTATTGGTGGGTAATTAAGCAAATACAAGAGATTGAAACTTTTCAATGTATGTGGGGTTTTAACTCAGCACTTCTCTTTTTTGAAAGCTATTTTGACAATTCTAAAAACCATACTATGTTACTAGTTTACACCATCAGTAATCTACATCATTGCTAAGAGATGGGCTAAATGGTTGTAACAGAAGGAACAAACACATCCAGCTCGGCGGTGCTATATGCTGCATCTTGGAAAACTAACCTGAAATAAATCCTAAATTACAGGTTAAGGTTGCTGCCAGGACAAAAAAAGCCATCTTAGTATGTTTTCTTTCCACTTTTTGTGAGAATGACTCATTGATTTAAACACATGCTTATTTTTTTTAAGAGGCAGTACAATCATTCATAACACTGCACCATACCGAGCAGCACAGCAGACACATTAAACCTTAGAAATAAATGTTTTATCAAGAAAAAAAAACTAAAATATTGCTCAAAGATGATTTAATGAAAGAAAATCCGTGGATTAAGAATAAACTATATCTTTGTTTGCCGTCTAAAATCTGTATGAAGTAAAACTTCACTGGTGGGTATTTCAAGTCTTTGGCATGAATATGAGTGGTAAACCACAGCAATGCTATCAGGGTTTGTGAGGAATAGAGCAGAGAAGGCTGACGTTCCCGGAGCTCCGTTTGGTGCCCTGTAATTTTAGTGATTACGCTCACACTCACACATAAATGGAGTATTTCTCTCCCCCAAAATAAAAAAGTAAGTGTGTGACCATCTGTCCAAAAGTATGACTGAATAGATGCTTCAACATGAGGAGTGTTTTGTTGGGAAGTTTCAAACTTCTTTCCTATTGAGTTTTATTCTTCCTGGGTATCTACATGTAAAAAATAAATGTAGCCTTTATTTGACTATGCATACACAACTGTGTACAACTTCATTTTACTAAGAATGTTAACACAAAATAACCCAGTGATAACGCTTCACACGTCCTGTGACGTGGAAGAAAGCATGATTTAACTTGAAAGTACCATGTGTATTTATATTTATCCCAATTTAGTCTAATATCTGAATAAAATTTAATGCACTCAGTTAACCTTAAAAGGGACATCATTAGTATGTATAGTTCAGCTGTAGTGACTTTAATCTCAGAATAAATACAGCTGTTCCAAGACCATTAGTCATTAAAAAGCATAATGAATATCTTCGTCCTCGGGTCAATGTGTTATGTTTAAGGAACAAGTCAGGGGTAAAGTTAGAGTAACAGACTACTAAACCAGATCTCACACCAGGGATGCACCAATACTAATATCAGACCTGATATCACATGCCTGTACTTGTTGTATCTGAAAATGCCCTCCAATACCTAAGGGCTGGATACTAGTATTGTTTTCCCTCTAACAGAGAGTAGAAGTTTGAGCTCAAATACTCCTGCCAAGTAAGTGGCATCATAACGCATAATAAAATGAAGTCAAGCCACAAGAAGGAGCAGTGGGAGCAGTGATGGCATGTAACAGCTATAGCAGTAGCGTAACCCTTAATTTTACATAGCGTCCAATCTGCTCCACTCCACCCAGCTGCAAACTGTGCAGCAAATATGCAATAATAATAATTAATAAGAGCATTTACAGTGTCTCCACATGGTGGTGAGGGGACGGCGTGCTGGCAGAATTTCATTTTAGGGCCACACCCAATATTTAAGTGAAAGATTGATCTATTGTATAATTTCTCCAATGATCTGAGAAGGGTTACTCTAAGTAAATAAATATTTCAAAATGTGTATTTATATACCAACCATTTAATCGAAAAAATTGTCAATTTTTTTATAGTTAGAAATTTGTCTTAATTACTGCTGTTCATAGGTTATTCCTAGGCAAATCGCATGTTTAAGAGTCTGTGTACCATTAATCTAGGAAATGATCCGATTACCAAATTAGTTGACAATTATTTCAATAATGGACTGATCATGAATAATCAAATTAATTGCTTCAGCCTAATTGATTTTAATTCTACTTTTGCCGGACACCGCAGTAAGACCACAGTAAATATTTAAAAATTTACACAGTACAATAGGAAACTGGAGTTAACATAAGACTGCTGTATTTGCTGTAAAAAAAATTGTATATATATACAATTTGAAATGCCTACATGTTATGAATGCTGGCGTACCATAAAAAATAAATTATGAACAGTTTAGTTTGTTCCTTCAACTCGTTGCCCATAGAAGGACGTTACTTGCATTACAAAACCGAATATCTTCAGGGCAACTCCAAATGATGCAAAACTAATATGGATGAGTAGAACATAATAATATAATATAAACATAATAACGTAAAATCAAGGGGCCAATGTAAAAAAACAAAAAAAACAAAACGGTGTTCCCCTTTAAGTTTAGGACTAAGGTGTAAATTGAGTTTAAGTTAGGCTTAGGGTTAGGTAGGTATCTATTGCTAATGGTAAGGCTTAGGGTCAGGGTTAGGCTATAGAAATTAGAGGGAAGTCTATGCAAGT